AGATGAGAAAATAAAGCCACAGTTCTTGAAAAAAACTAAAAGACTTTGGTCCTGTTCGAGAACACAGTCACAATAAAAAAAACCTGGACTCAAGCTTTTATCACCTTATACTCGATCATTTTTTGCAGTGTATGTTTCAGTTTGGTGGAAACTTCGGGTTTTCACATTAAGGATCTTTCGAACATATCTCAAAGTCTGTGTTTTATGAGGATTCTCTTAAAGGGAAGTAGATTCATCACCCTCAGAACAAAACATGAGCCCAATGAGAACTCATCACTCCTGTGGTATCCCTCCGCCGCTCACAGCTGTCACAATATAGTCCTCTGTCGGCTGTCACTTCACTGAGACTTTCCAGGAAGAGAGTGGACGTCCAGGGCCTCGCACCAGAGAGAGTCCACTGCAGTCACTGCGCCTTAAAGTGATTGTCTGGAGTTTGTCAGAATAAAGAGAGAGGTACAGGATTTGGAAACAACGACCCAAGCTCCTCCCCCTTCCTTTCTGATTGGTCTACGTCTACGTTTCCGTAACAATCAATCAACACATTTAAATGTTAATCAGAGAACACATCATACATTATTAACACACATGCACAGAGGTTTTCAGAATTATCTGTTCACGTTTTCATGACAAAAATAATGTTTTAATGCACAAAAAAGTGATCACGGAAAAACCGGAAGTAACTGAACATTATAGGAACATCTGCAGAGAATCTGATTATGGATATATGTTCATATATAAATGATTATGGATATAGGTTCATATATAAATGATTATGGATATATGTTCATATATAAATGATTATGGATATAGGTTCATATATAAATGATTATGGATATAGGTTCATATATAAATGATTATGGATATAGGTTCATATATAAATGATTATGGATATAGGTTCAAATATAAATGATTATGGATATATGTTCATATATAAATGATTATGGATATAGGTTCATATATAAATGATTATGGATATAGGTTCATATATAAATGATTATGGATATAGGTTCAGTATATAAATGATTATGGATATAGGTTCAGTATATAAATGATTATGGATATAGGTTCAGTATATAAATGATTATGGATATAGGTTCAGTATATAAATGATAATGGATATAGGTTCATATATAAATGATAATGGATATAGGTTCATATATAAATGATTATGGATATAGGTTCAGTATATAAATGATTATGGATATAGGTTCATATATAAATGATTATGGATATAGGTTCATATATAAATGATTATGGATATAGGTTCATATATAAATGATTATGGATATAGGTTCATATATAAATGATTATGGATATAGGTTCATATATAAATGATTATGGATATAGGTTCATATATAAATGATTATGGATATAGGTTCAGTCGCCGATGATTGACAGCCCTTGCCATCACCTGATTGGTTAACGTGGACGGCACCGTGGATTCTGAGCTATAGCTAAGAGCAGGGAAGGCGGGACTTACCTGTAATATTAGAATTCATAAAATGACTTATTTTATATCAACATTTAAGGCCAGGAGGTCAATTTAACACAATTCTTAACATTTGTAATTCATTTAGAGTTACAGAATATCACTTTAAAGTCTCAGGACGTGCTTCTCTCCTCTCCCACCAGCAGGTGTCACTGCTGCTCTGTAATGTTCTAACCAACTGTGCATTGGAACAGGTCCTTTGGGGAAATGTCAGTGTTGTATCATCAGGTACAGAAGATCAGTGAATATAAAGAAAAACATCTTTTAAACCAAAGAATGTCCTGTTTGTCTGAGTGCAGCTGAAGGATTCATCTCTGTTTACTGCTCTGTGGATTTTTATTATTTTAACTCTGTGGGATTTCAACGATTTTTTACTTGTGTGTTTGTGTTTTTTGTGGTGATTGTGGTGTTTTTTGTGGTGATTGTGGTGTTTTTTGTGGTGATTTGTGCCTCGTGTGTGTGGACTGAAGGAAAGGTGCTCTACAAAAAAACATAGATGGATTTATCTTCAGCTTAAAAGTATAAAGGAGACTATTGGTCCTCTCGAACGTCAATCATTCTGCTGATGCGAGCTCGTCCAATAAGAACAGAGGTAGGTTCAGAGGGCGGTTCTTTCTTAAAATGTGGGAAAATCCTCTTTTAAACATTTAATAAAGAAACAGTAAAAACTACTGTATTGTCTGCTCCCGGCACGTCCAACCTCAGGCCCGGGGGCCAACTGCGGCCCTCAGTGTCATTGTATGGGGCCCTCTGCATTGCTAACCCAAAGTAGTTCACTGTGTCATCCATCCAACTTCAGCTTAGCCATAATAGACCTGGTTCTAAAGCCCAGTTGTACAAACTGTAGTGACGTACTTTTTGATTGTGTCACAAACTTCTGTTATTGTTGCCACTGAAGCTGGTGTCATTCAGCCAACTTCAGCTCCGTTATACATCATCATGAAGCTCAGAACAGTCAAAACAGTTTTTCAGTCCGTGATGCGGCCCCTGGACTAGTCTGGACTGGTCTGGACTGGTCTGGACTGAAGTGGCCTCTTACTCAAATGTTTGGACACCCCTGAGGTTTTAGTGAACGACACATTTCTTATAAATGGATCTTTCATAAACAGACACACACACAGACACAGACAGATACACAAACACACACACACAGACAGACACACACACAAACACAGACAAACACAGGCACAAACAGACACAGACACACACACAAACACACACACACAGACAGACACACACACAAACACAGACAGACACACACAGGCACAAACAGACACACACACAAACACACACACACAGACAGACACACACACAAACACAGACAGACACACACAAACACAGGCACAAACAGACACACACACAAACAGACACACACAGGGTCAGGGTTCAGCTGTAACACACTTCTTATCTACTGCTGACAAATACTGCTGTGTAATAGTTTGTGTGTGTGTGTATGTGTGTGGCAAATGGGCAGCGCTTACACAACACACACAGACTCAAAGACACACACACACACACGCACACACACTCTAATCTTATCATGTGCTCAGCCGGGACAAAGCTTTCTTGTGGCACAAACTTTTTGTGCGTCCAAGTTTGAAACAAGGACTCTCCAGAGAACTGTTGTGTAAATGTAATGGCTGCATAATCAGCAGTCGCTAATTACACAAACGAGGCCTCGTTAGGACACACACACAGACACACACACACACGGACACACACAGAGAGACACACACAGAGACACACAGACACACACACACATACGCACACACACAGACAGACACACACACACACACACAGACACACAGACACAGACACGCGCACACACAGACACATACACACAGACACACACACACACAGACAGACACAGACAGACGTAGAAAGTCAGGGGTTTGAGGGACTGTGTGCGTTTCCCTTCATGGTGTTCTCTCAGGACCAGGTCATTGGCCTCCAACCTCAGGCCCGAGGGCCAACTGCAGCCCTCTGTGTCGGTCTACATGGTCCTCTGTGTCGGTCTACATGGTCCTCTGTGTCGGTCTACATGGTCCTCTGTGTCGGTCTACATGGTCCTCTGTGTCGGTCTACATGGTCCTCTGTGTCGGTCTACATGGTCCTCTGTGTCAGTCTACATGGTCCTCTGTGTCGGTCTACATGGTCCTCTGTGTCGGTCTACATGGTCCTCTGTGTCAGTCTACATGGTCCTCTGTGTCGGTCTACATGGTCCTCTGTGTCAGTCTACATGGTCCTCTGTGTCGGTCTACATGGTCCTCTGTGTCGGTCTACATGGTCCTCTGTGTCAGTCTACATGGTCCTCTGTGTCGGTCTATGTTGTTTCGACAGCCGGACAGATCCCTGCAGGCTGACCACGCCCTCTCACTGACCACGCCCTCTCACTGACCACGCCCTCTCACTGACCACGCCCCCCTGACTAACCACGCCCCCTCGGACTGACCACGCCCCCTCGGACTGCTCAGACCATAGACTGTATATATTAATGAACAGAGTCAGGCCTATCTAACTAATGAGGCAAAAAATGTGCTCTACTGGAACAATCCAAAATGGCCGCGAGTGGTCCCGCCCACAAGAAAATTGTGAAAAAACTCATCTGTGCATGCGTCAGCTGCGAGAGCTCCATTCATTTAAACGAGAGACTTCTAAAGTCCACAGCCACTAAACTAGACTGGTCCAGAACACTCAGCATTGACACACATGTGGAACGGAGCTTTGGGCCAAGAGACAACGTTTGGACCATCCTGTAAAGACGTTTTCCAGAGGTCTGCTAATGCTATATGTTAGCATTGGCTAATTCTACTTCCGGGTCCACCCCCACAGGCCCGGGGTGGTACTGCAGCATGTCAGCGCACGTCATTTTGGCCACTTTGGACCCGCCCCCACTGGCTCAGACTGACCACGGCCCCTCAGACTGACCACGCCCCTGCAGCGCTGTGGTCTCTGAAGAGGTGTGTCCCGAGGTGTAGGCCCCTCGTCTCCGTTAATGGTCCGTGCTCCTCGTGTCCATCAGAGACGTCACATGGTTCTGACTAAACAGTAAACAACAGAACTATTTCTTTAAACGCTTTCTCTTAAACATAAAGGAGACATAAGTAGGAAACGTAGCTTCTACTAGCTTCGCTTCTAATTTCAGGACATTCTGGCAGCAGGGCTAACAGCTGCTCCAGTCCTGAGGTCTGGACTCAATCACAGACTCTGATCAGAGTTGTATTTTGGTAGAACCCGGACTAAAGTCCAGACTCTGTCTTTAGTCCAGACTCTGCCTTTAGTCCAGACTCTGTCTTTAGTCCAGACTCTGCCTTTAGTCCAGACTCTGCCTTTAGTCCAGACTCTGTCTTTAGTCCAGACTCTGTCTTTAGTCCAGACTCTGTCTTTAGTCCAGACTCTGTCTTTAGTCCAGACTCTGTCTTTAGTCCAGACTCTGTCTTTAGTCCAGACTCTGTCTTTAGTCCAGACTCTGTCTTTAGTCCAGACTCTGTCTTTAGTCCAGACTCTGTCTTTAGTCCAGGATGTGGTTCTGTGAACAGTATCTGTGTTTGTCCTGAGGGCCCTTCCTCTGACCACAGAGAACAGTATCAGCCTCTTCTTCCTCACACGCCCTGGGCCTGGGCCTACCTGCTGTCGCAGTAGGTGATGTCCCTGATGTCGCAGTAGGTGAAGTACCTGATGTCGCAGTAGTCATGTCCCTGATGTCGCAGTAGGTGAAGTACCTGATGTCGCAGTAGGTGAAGTACCTGATGTCGCAGTAGGTGAAGTACCTGATGTCGCAGTAGGTGAAGTACCTGATGTCGCAGTAGGTGAAGTACCTGATGTCGCAGTAGGTGAAGTACCTGATGTCGCAGTAGGTGAAGTACCTGATGTCGCAGTAGGTGAAGTACCTGATGTCGCAGTAGGTGAAGTACCTGATGTCGCAGTAGGTCATGTACCTGATGTCGCAGTAGGTCATGTACCTGATGTTGCAGTAGGTCATGTCCCTGATGTCGCAGTAGGTGAAGTACCTGATGTCGCAGTAGGTGAAGTACCTGATGTCGCAGTAGGTGAAGTACCTGATGTCGCAGTAGGTGAAGTACCTGATGTCGCAGTAGGTGAAGTACCTGATGTCGCAGTAGGTCATGTACCTGATGTCGCAGTAGGTCATGTACCTGATGTTGCAGTAGGTCATGTCCCTGATGTCGCAGTAGGTGAAGTACCTGCTGTCGCAGTAGGTGATGTCCCTGATGTCGCAGTAGGTCATGTCCCTGATGTCGCAGTAGGTGAAGTACCTGATGTCGCAGTAGGTGAAGTACCTGATGTTGCAGTAGGTGAAGTACCTGATGTCGCAGTAGGTGAAGTACCTGATGTCGCACTAGGTCATGTCCCTGATGTCGCAGTAGGTGAAGTACCTGATGTCGCAGTAGGTGATGTCCCTGATGTCGCAGTAGGTCATGTCCCTGATGTCGCAGTAGGTGAAGTACCTGATGTCGCACTAGGTCATGTCCCTGATGTCGCAGTAGGTGATGTCCCTGATGTCGCAGTAGGTGATGTACCTGATGACGCAGTAGGTCATGTCCCTGATGTCGCAGTAGGTCATGTCCCTGATGTCGCAGTAGGTGATGTCCCTGATGTCGCAGTAGGTGATGTCCCTGATGTCGCAGTAGGTGAAGTACCTGATGTCGCAGTAGGTGAAGTACCTGATGTCGCAGTAGGTGAAGTACCTGATGTCGCAGTAGGTGAAGTACCTGATGTCGCAGTAGGTGAAGAACCTGATGTCGCAGTAGGTCATGTACCTGATGTCGCAGTAGGTGAAGTACCTGATGTCGCAGTAGTCATGTCCCTGATGTCGCAGTAGGTGAAGTACCTGATGTCGCAGTAGGTGAAGTACCTGATGTCGCAGTAGGTGAAGTACCTGATGTCGCAGTAGGTGAAGTACCTGATGTCGCAGTAGGTGAAGTACCTGATGTCGCAGTAGGTGAAGTACCTGATGTCGCAGTAGGTGAAGTACCTGATGTCGCAGTAGGTCATGTACCTGATGTCGCAGTAGGTCATGTACCTGATGTTGCAGTAGGTCATGTCCCTGATGTCGCAGTAGGTGAAGTACCTGATGTCGCAGTAGGTGAAGTACCTGATGTCGCAGTAGGTGAAGTACCTGATGTCGCAGTAGGTGAAGTACCTGATGTCGCAGTAGGTCATGTCCCTGATGTCGCAGTAGGTCATGTCCCTGATGTCGCAGTAGGTGAAGTACCTGATGTCGCAGTAGGTCATGTCCCTGATGTCGCAGTAGGTGAAGTACCTGATGTCGCAGTAGGTGAAGTACCTGATGTCGCAGTAGGGCATGTCCCTGATGTCGCAGTAGGTGAAGTACCTGATGTCGCAGTAGGTGAAGTACCTGATGTCGCAGTAGGTCATGTACCTGATGTCGCAATAGGTCATGTACCTGATGTCGCAGTAGGTGAAGTACCTGATGTCGCAGTAGGTGATGTACCTGATGACGCAGTAGGTCATGTCCCTGATGTCGCAGTAGGTCATGTCCCTGATGTCGCAGTAGGTGAAGTACCTGATGTCGCAGTAGGTGAAGTACCTGATGTCGCAGTAGGTGAAGTACCTGATGTCGCAGTAGGTGAAGTACCTGATGTCGCAGTAGGTGAAGTACCTGATGTCGCAGTAGGTGAAGAACCTGATGTCGCAGTAGGTCATGTACCTGATGTCGCAGTAGGTGAAGTACCTGATGTCGCAGTAGGTCATGTCCCTGATGTCGCAGTAGGTGAAGTACCTGATGTCGCAGTAGGTCATGTCCCTGATGTCGCAGTAGGTGAAGTACCTGATGTCGCAGTAGGTGAAGTACCTGATGTCGCAGTAGGTGAAGTACCTGATGTCGCAGTAGGTGAAGTACCTGATGTCGCAGTAGGTCATGTCCCTGATGTCGCAGTAGGTGAAGTTACCTGATGTCGCACTAGGTCATGTCCCTGATGTCGCAGTAGGTGATGTCCCTGATGTCGCAGTAGGTGATGTACCTGATGACGCAGTAGGTCATGTCCCTGATGTCGCAGTAGGTCATGTCCCTGATGTCGCAGTAGGTGATGTCCCTGATGTCGCAGTAGGTGATGTCCCTGATGTCGCAGTAGGTGAAGTACCTGATGTCGCAGTAGGTGAAGTACCTGATGTCGCAGTAGGTGAAGTACCTGATGTCGCAGTAGGTGAAGTACCTGATGTCGCAGTAGGTGAAGAACCTGATGTCGCAGTAGGTCATGTACCTGATGTCGCAGTAGGTGAAGTACCTGATGTCGCAGTAGTCATGTCCCTGATGTCGCAGTAGGTGAAGTACCTGATGTCGCAGTAGGTGAAGTACCTGATGTCGCAGTAGGTGAAGTACCTGATGTCGCAGTAGGTGAAGTACCTGATGTCGCAGTAGGTGAAGTACCTGATGTCGCAGTAGGTGAAGTACCTGATGTCGCAGTAGGTGAAGTACCTGATGTCGCAGTAGGTGAAGTACCTGATGTCGCAGTAGGTCATGTACCTGATGTCGCAGTAGGTCATGTACCTGATGTTGCAGTAGGTCATGTCCCTGATGTCGCAGTAGGTGAAGTACCTGATGTCGCAGTAGGTGAAGTACCTGATGTCGCAGTAGGTGAAGTACCTGATGTCGCAGTAGGTGAAGTACCTGATGTCGCAGTAGGTCATGTCCCTGATGTCGCAGTAGGTCATGTCCCTGATGTCGCAGTAGGTGAAGTACCTGATGTCGCAGTAGGTCATGTCCCTGATGTCGCAGTAGGTGAAGTACCTGATGTCGCAGTAGGTGAAGTACCTGATGTCGCAGTAGGGCATGTCCCTGATGTCGCAGTAGGTGAAGTACCTGATGTCGCAGTAGGTGAAGTACCTGATGTCGCAGTAGGTCATGTACCTGATGTCGCAATAGGTCATGTACCTGATGTCGCAGTAGGTGAAGTACCTGATGTCGCAGTAGGTGATGTACCTGATGACGCAGTAGGTCATGTCCCTGATGTCGCAGTAGGTCATGTCCCTGATGTCGCAGTAGGTGAAGTACCTGATGTCGCAGTAGGTGAAGTACCTGATGTCGCAGTAGGTGAAGTACCTGATGTCGCAGTAGGTGAAGTACCTGATGTCGCAGTAGGTGAAGTACCTGATGTCGCAGTAGGTGAAGAACCTGATGTCGCAGTAGGTCATGTACCTGATGTCGCAGTAGGTGAAGTACCTGATGTCGCAGTAGGTCATGTCCCTGATGTCGCAGTAGGTGAAGTACCTGATGTCGCAGTAGGTCATGTCCCTGATGTCGCAGTAGGTGAAGTACCTGATGTCGCAGTAGGTGAAGTACCTGATGTCGCAGTAGGTGAAGTACCTGATGTCGCAGTAGGTGAAGTACCTGATGTCGCAGTAGGTCATGTACCTGATGTCGCAGTAGGTCATGTACCTGATGTCGCAGTAGGTCATGTACCTGATGTCGCAGTAGGTCATGTCCCTGATGTCGCAGTAGGTGAAGTACCTGATGTTGCAGTAGGTGAAGTACCTGATGTCGCAGTAGGTGAAGTACCTGATGTCGCAGTAGGTGAAGTACCTGATGTCGCAGTAGGTCATGTCCCTGATGTCGCAGTAGGTCATGTCCCTGATGTCGCAGTAGGTGAAGTACCTGATGTCGCAGTAGGTCATGTCCCTGATGTCGCAGTAGGTGAAGTACCTGATGTCGCAGTAGGGCATGTCCCTGATGTCGCAGTAGGTCATGTCCCTGATGTCGCAGTAGGTGAAGTACCTGATGTCGCAGTAGGTGAAGTACCTGATGTCGCAGTAGGTGAAGTACCTGATGTTGCAGTAGGTGAAGTACCTGATGTTAGAGCCCTGCACGGGCCTATTATCTGGGCCCGAGCCCGGCCCTGGCCCGAGGGGGTGGCGCCCCAGCCCGGCCCGGCCCGATATGGTTTCTGAATTTTCAGGCCCGAAACCCGCATCAAGCCGCCTTTTTTTTTTTTTTGTAACCTCCCATAACAATGTTTTAGCGTAGTATATAGTGCCGCGCACTGATATGAACGCAGACTTAGCTAGAGGGCGGAGTTATACATGGTAGTGATGTGTTGCAATGAGTTCTGTGTGTGCGGAGTGGTGCAGAGTGAACGGCCACATCTGTATGATGCCCCCGATGCTGCAACACATCTGCACATTACATAAGTAATGCTATGTGCCGTCAATGACAACACTACACAGAACAACAAACACTACTGCGTGATAGAACGCTATATTCAGTGGGTGCGCTCGTAAATCTATTCTGCCGCTCTGAAAATGAAGAGCCCGAGCCCGCCCCGTGTCCGAGGTCATTATGCGGTCATCGGCCCGAAGCCCGGCCCTCGGGCTGTCGGGCCGTCGGGGCCCTCGGGCCAAGGGCTCAAGTGCAGGGCTCTACCTGATGTCGCAGTAGGTGAAGTACCTGATGTCGCAGTAGGTGAAGTACCTGATGTCGCAGTAGGTGAAGTACCTGATGTCGCAGTAGGTGAAGTACCTGATGTCGCAGTAGGTCATGTACCTGATGTCGCAGTAGGTGAAGTACCTGATGTCGCAGTAGGTGAAGTACCTGATGTCGCAGTAGGTCATGTACCTGATGTCGCAGTAGGTCATGTACCTGATGTCGCAGTAGGTCATGTCCCTGATGTCGCAGTAGGTGAAGTACCTGATGTCGCAGTAGGTGAAGTACCTGATTTCGCAGTAGGTGAAGTACCTGATGTCGCAGTAGGTGAAGTACCTGATGTCGCAGTAGGTCATGTCCCTGATGTCGCAGTAGGTCATGTCCCTGATGTCGCAGTAGGTCATGTCCCTGATGTCGCAGTAGGTGAAGTACCTGATGTCGCAGTAGGTCATGTCCCTGATGTCGCAGTAGGTGAAGTACCTGATGTCGCAGTAGGTGAAGTACCTGATGTCGCAGTAGGTGAAGTACCTGATGTCGCAGTAGGTGAAGTACCTGATGTCGCAGTAGGTGAAGTACCTGATGTCGCAGTAGGTGAAGTACCTGATGTCGCAGTAGGTGAAGTACCTGATGTCGCAGTAGGTCATGTCCCTGATGTCGCAGTAGGTCATGTCCCTGATGTCGCAGTAGGTGAAGTACCTGATGTCGCAGTAGGTCATGTCCCTGATGTCGCAGTAGGTGAAGTACCTGATGTCGCAGTAGGTGAAGTACCTGATGTCGCAGTAGGGCATGTCCCTGATGTCGCAGTAGGTCATGTCCCTGATGTCGCAGTAGGTGAAGTACCTGATGTCGCAGTAGGTGAAGTACCTGATGTTGCAGTAGGTGAAGTACCTGATGTCGCAGTAGGTGAAGTACCTGATGTCGCAGTAGGTGAAGTACCTGATGTCGCAGTAGGTGAAGTACCTGATGTCGCAGTAGGTGAAGTACCTGATGTCGCAGTAGGTCATGTCCCTGATGTCGCAGTAGGTGAAGTACCTGATGTCGCAGTAGGTGAAGTACCTGATGTCGCAGTAGGTGAAGTACCTGATGTCGCAGTAGGTGAAGTACCTGATGTCGCAGTAGGTCATGTCCCTGATGTCGCAGTAGGTGAAGTACCTGATGTCGCAGTAGGTGAAGTACCTGATGTCGCAGTAGGGCATGTCCCTGATGTCGCAGTAGGTCATGTCCCTGATGTCGCAGTAGGTGAAGTACCTGATGTCGCAGTAGGTGAAGTACCTGATGTTGCAGTAGGTGAAGTACCTGATGTCGCAGTAGGTGAAGTACCTGATGTCGCAGTAGGTGAAGTACCTGATGTCGCAGTAGGTGAAGTACCTGATGTCGCAGTAGGTGAAGTACCTGATGTTGCAGTAGGTGAAGTACCTGATGTCGCAGTAGGTAAAGGTCATGTCCATGCTGTGGCGGCTCATGAAGGTGCTGCTGTCCAGGGGGGAGAGCGGGTGAGACGGGTGAGGGATGGGCTCACACAGAAGCACTGCACAGGACAGAGGAGGCTCCAGGGGGCGCTGCTGAGCACAGGGACCACAGGGCGGGGCAGGGTACAGCTTCAGGTGTCCTGTACAGTGCAGGACCTGAGGACACACACACACAGACACACACATGAGATACAGAGACACACACACACACGAGACACACACACACAGACACACAGAGACACACACAGACACACAAATACACACACACACACACAGTCCTTACCTTCCAGCTGGCAGACTTCAGGTTGACAGTGCGCCCCCTGCTGGTCACAGTGCACTTCATCCTCATAAAGAAGTCTCTCTGTGTGCTCAGGCCTCTGTCTGTGGACAATCCTCCTGGAAACACACTCAGTTACACCACAACATTCACAACAACATACACACACACTGACGGCAGGGGTGTCACAACAAGCAGACGTGTGTGTGTGTCTGCGTGTGTGTCTGCGTGTGTGTCTGCGTGTGTGTGTCTGTGTGTGTCTGTGTGTGTGTTTGTGTGTCAGTGTGTGAGTGTGTGTGTCACTGACCAGTCGACTTCAGACTCAGATTGTCTCGTATCTCTTCGTGGTCACAGGGATGAGTGAAGTCGAAGATGCTCTGCCCGGTCAGCTCCACCTGCAGCGACACACCACAGTCAGCAACACTGCCCCCTGTGGCCGGAGGGGGCAATACACACTGTCCTCTGGTGGTGTGTGTGTGTGTTAGTGTGTGTCCCTGTATTTGTATGAATGTGTGTTTGGTGTGTGAGTGTGTGTGTGTGTGTGTGTGTGTGTTCTTGTACCTGTGTGAGGCCCATGTACTTGTTGATGCTCTGTGACAGGTAGATCATGTCTCCGTCGGCTGTTACCACGGTGACGAAGCCCTCCAGCGAACGCAGACACAGGCTGTCCATCTGGCTGAGGTCAGGGCCGGAGTCAGGGCTGGGCTTAGAGCTGGGCTTAGAGCTGGGCTTGGAGCTGAGGCCTGAGGGGACCCAAACACAGGACCAGGGGAAGGGTCCGGTCACACACAATGAGGAAAACGGCATCAGAGACAAGAACACACTGCTACTGTATAACTGTAGAGATCAAAGGATTTCCTCTATGCAATGAAATTTAGACCAGGTTCAGTCCTGGGTCTACAGCCTCAGTCCTGGGTCTACGGCCTCAGTCCTGGGTCTACAGCCTCAGTCCTGGGTCTACAGCCTCAGTCCTGGGTCTACAGCCTCAGTCCTGGGTCTACAGCCTTAGTCCTGGGTCTACAGCCTCAGTCTTGGGTCTACAGCCTCAGTCCTGGGTCTACAGCCTCAGTCCTGGGTCTACAGCCTTAGTCCTGGGTCTACAGCCTCAGTCCTGGGTCTACAGCCTCAGTCCTGGGTCTACAGCCTTAGTCCTGGGTCTACAGTCTCAGTCCTGGGTCTACAGCCTCAGTCTTGGGTCTACAGCCTTAGTCCTGGGTCTACAGCCTCAGTCTTAGGTCTACAGCCTTAGTCTTGGGTCTACAGCCTTCTGCAAATGAAGTGGACCAGCATTCCACAACCAGCACCTGAACCACTCTACCATGTGACTACCAGAGAAAGTCCAGAGAGACCAGAGAGAGACCAGAGAGAGACCGGAGGGAGACCAGAGAGAGACCAGAGAGAGACCGGAGGGAGACCAGAGAGAGACCAGAGAGAGACCAGAGAGAGACCAGAGAGAGACCAGAGAGAGACCAGAGAGAGACCAGAGAGAGGCCAGAGAGAGACCAGAGAGAGACCAGAGAGAGAGACCAGAGAGAGACCAGAGAGAGACCAGAGAGAGACCAGAGAGAGACCGGAGGGAGACCAGAGAGAGACCAGAGAGAGAGACCAGAGAGAGACCAGAGAGAGAGACCAGAGAGAGACCAGAGAGAGAGACCAGAGAGAGAGACCAGAGAGAGAGACCAGAGAGAGACCAGAGAGAGAGACCAGAGAGAGACCAGAGAGAGACCAGAGAGAGAGACCAGAGAGAGACCAGAGAGGAGACAGAGAGAGAGACCAGAGAGAGACCAGAGAGAGACCCAGAGAGAGAGACCAGAGAGAGACCAGAGAGAGACCAGAGAGAGACCAGAGAGAGAGACCAGAGAGAGACCAGAGAGAGACCAGAGAGAGACCAGAGAGAGAGAGCCAGAGAGAGAGACCAGAGAGAGAGACCAGAGAGAGACCAGAGAGAGAGACCAGAGAGAGACCAGAGAGAGACCAGAGAGAGACCAGAGAGAGACCAGAGAGAGACAGAGAGAGAGAGACCAGAGAGAGACCAGAGAGAGAGACCAGAGAGAGACCAGAGAGAGACCAGAGAGAGACCAGAGAGAGACCAGAGAGAGAGACCAGAGAGAGACCAGAGAGAGAGACCAGAGAGAGACCAGAGAGAGACCAGAGAGAGAGACCAGAGAGATACCAGAGAGAGAGACCAGAGGGAGACCAGAGAGAGACCAGAGAGAGACCAGAGAGAGAGCAGAGAGAGACCAGAGAGAGACCAGAGAGAGACCAGAGAGAGACCAGAGAGAGAGCAGAGAGAGACCAGAGAGAGACCAGAGAGAGACCAGAGAGAGAGACCAGAGAGAGAGACCAGAGAGAGAGACCAGAGAGAGAGACCAGAGAGAGAGCAGAGAGAGACCAGAGAGAGACCAGAGAGAGAGCAGAGAGAGACCAGAGAGAGAGCAGAGATATCAGATGATCCAACACATAACTGCAGGGTGCAAGATGCTGCAGGGAAAACCTACATGCAACGCTTTAACACAGCCACACACACACAGACGCACACACACACACACACACACACAGACACACACACAGACGCACACACACACACACACACAGACACACACACAGACGCACACACACAGACACACACACACAGAGACACAGACACGCACACACACAGACACACACACACAGACACACACACGCACACACACACACACACAGACACACACACACAGACACACACACGCACACACACACACACTCAGACGCACACACGCACACACAGGGCGAAGGGGAAGTGTGTAGAGTCTGTGTTTCCGTCAGATAAGAGTTCCCATGGCTCCTGGAGAGAGCTCTGGGATAAAGGCCACAGGCTCCTGCAGAGTCTGCACAGACACACTCAGTCTGCCCCAGGACAGCTGTGGCTACGCCCTGTGAGGAGGGAAGGAGTCTAGAGGGACCAGAGAGACCAGAGACCAGAGAGAGACCAGAGAGAGACCATAGAGAGAGACCAGCGAGAGAGACCAGAGAGAGAGACCATAGAGAGACCAGAGAGAGACCATAGAGAGAGACCATAGAGAGAGACCAGAGAGAGAGACCATAGAGAGACCAGAGAGAGACCATAGAGAGAGACCAGAGAGACCAGAGAGAGAGACCATAGAGAGACCAGAGAGAGACCATAGAGAGAGACCAGAGAGAGAGACCAGAGAGAGAGACCATAGAGAGACCAGAGAGAGACCAGAGAGAGACCATAGAGAGAGACCAGAGAGAGACCAGAGAGAGAGACCAGAGAGAGAGACCATAGAGAGACCAGAGAGAGAGACCAGAGAGAGACCAGAGAGAGACCAGAGAGAGACCATAGAGAGAGACCATAGAGAGACCAGAGAGAAACCATAGAGAGACCAGTGAGGCTGCCTCCCCCCGACCTCCTCCGCCCCCTGGACCTCCTCGTCCCCCTGCACCTCCTCCTCCCCCTGGACCTCCTCCTCCTCCACTGGACCTCCTCCTCCCCCTGCACCTCCTCCTCCCCCTGCACCTCCTCCTCCCCCTGGAGCTGCTCCTGCACCTTTGGCCTACATACTTGGGAGTGATTATCCCAGTGTTGTTCTAAGTCTTACATAATTGTCCTCTTTGAGAATAGGCTCCGCCCCCTCGCTCTGGTTCAGACTTAGACACGATTCTCAACTTCTGACTAAAAACAAAAACAAGAGAATATGAGACCAGAGAGAGACCAGAGAGAGAGACCAGAGAGAGACCAGAGAGAGAGACCAGAGAGAGACCAGAGAGAGAGACCAGAGAGAGACCAGAGAGAGACCAGAGAGAGACCAGAGAGAGACCAGAGAGAGAGACCAGAGAGAGAGACCAGAGAGAGACCAGAGAGAGAGACCAGAGAGACCAGAGAGAGAGACCAGAGAGAGACCAGAGAGAGAGACCAGAGAGAGACCAGAGAGAGACCAGAGAGAGACCAGAGAGAGAGACCAGAGAGAGACCAGAGAGAGAGACCAGAGAGAGACCAGAGAGAGAGACCAGAGAGAGACCAGAGAGAGAGACCAGAGAGAGACCAGAGAGAGAGACCAGAGAGAGACCAGAGAGAGAGACCAGAGAGAGACCAGAGAGAGAGACCAGAGAGAGACCAGAGAGAGAGAGACCAGAGAGAGACCAGAGAGAGAGACCAGAGAGAGACCAGAGAGAGAGACCAGAGAGAGACCAGAGAGAGAGAGACAGAGAGAGACCAGAGAGAGAGACCAGAGAGAGACCAGAGAGAGAGACCAGAGAGAGAGACCAGAGAGAGAGACCAGAGAGAGAGACCAGAGAGAGACCAGAGAGAGACCAGAGAGAGAGAGACCAGAGAGAGACCAGAGAGAGAGACCAGAGAGCGAGAGAGAGAGAGAGACCAGAGAGAGACCAGAGAGAGACCAGAGAGAGAGACCAGAGAGAGACCAGAGAGAGACCAGAGAGAGACCAGAGAGAGACCAGAGAGAGAGACCAGAGAGAGACCAGAGAGAGACCAGAGAGAGAGACCAGAGAGAGACCAGAGAGAGACCAGAGAGAGACCAGAGAGAGAGACCAGAGAGAGAGACCAGAGAGAGACCAGAGAGAGACCAGAGAGAGACCAGAGAGAGACCAGAGAGAGAGACCAGAGAGAGACCAGAGAGAGACCAGAGAGAGAGACCAGAGAGAGACCAGAGAGAGACCAGAGAGAGACCAGAGAGAGACCAGAGAGAGAGACCAGAGAGAGACCAGAGAGAGAGACCAGAGAGAGACCAGAGAGAGACCAGAGAGAGAGACCAGAGAGAGACCAGAGAGATACCAGAGAGAGAGACCAGAGAGAAACCAGAGAGAGAGACCAGAGAGAGACCAGAGAGAGAGACCAGAGAGAGACCAGAGAGAGAGACCAGAGAGAGACCAGAGAGAGAGACCAGAGAGAGACCAGAGAGAGACCAGAGAGAGAGACCAGAGAGAGACCAGAGAGAGAGACCAGAGAGAGACCAGAGAGTGACCAGAAAGAGACCAGAGAGAGACCAGAGAGAGAGACCAGAGAGAGACCAGAGAGAGACCAGAGAGAGACCAGAGAGAGACCAGAGAGAGAGACCAGAGAGAGAGACCAGAGAAACCAGAGAGAGAGACCAGAGAAACCAGAGAGAGACCAGAGAGAGAGACCAGAGAGAGACCAGAGAGAGACCAGAGAGAGAGACCAGAGAGAGACCAGAGAGAGACCAGAGAGAGAGACCAGAGAGAGACCAGAGAGAGAGACCAGAGAGAGACCAGAGAGAGAGACCAGAGAGAGACCAGAGAGAGACACCAGAGAGAGACCAGAGAGAGACCAGAGAGAGACCAGAGAGAGACCAGAGAGAGAGACCAGAGAGAGACCAGAGAGAGACCAGAGAGAGAGACCAGAGAGAGACCAGAGAGAGACCAGAGAGAGACCAGTTGAGAGACCAGAGAGAGACCAGAAAGAGACCAGAGAGAGACCAGAGAGAGACCAGAGAGTTTTGCCATTACCAAACTACAACCTTCCCGTTCGACGCAAACTCTTGACGTCACCCACATCTAACTACAACACCCACCTCCCACGCTCTCTGATTGGTCGGTTGAAATTCAACCAATTGTAATCACTAACATGGGGACTAGACCCAGACGTTACAGGCAGGACATGATGATGGACCGGAGAGTACGGATGGATAAGACCAGGGTAAGACAGACCAAAGCAATCGAGTCACGTGACACACCGTAGGATCGTATGGACACTACTCAAAAAGACAGACGTGCTACGGCCATTTCTGCATTTCTTCTATTGTGTGACTGAGAGAAACAGGCTCAAATAAACTTAACTCATTTTTTTAAATATATTGTGGGAAAACGTCCCTAAACCCTAAAGTCTTAAGTTATCATGTGTTTTCATGTGGTTTGGGGGGAGAGGGGAGGGGAGGGGGGAGTGGTTTTGACTTGGTGTAGCCAAAGTGTAGCTAAGAGTGGCTTTGCTGTAGTTTCTTATGCACTTTCATCATATCCTCAAGTATAAGTTTGTCTAAAGTCAGAATGAAAATGACTTGTGTTCAGAGGACTCTCTCTCTGATAAGATAATAAAAAGAATCAGGTCTCTCTTTTGTCTTCTTTAATCTTTCTCAGGTTTCTTTCTCTCCCTCTCTAGTCTCTCTCTGGTCTCTCTCTCTCTCCCTCTCTGGTCTCTCTCTCTGGTCCCTCTCTCTGGTCTCTCTCTCTGGTCTCTCTCTCTGGTCTCTCTCTCTGGTCTCTCTCTCTGGTCTCTCTCTCAGGTCTCTCTCTCTCTCTCCCTCTCTGGTCTCTCTCTCTGGTCTCTCTCTCTGGTCTCCCTCTCAGGTCTATCTCTCTCTCTCTCTCTCTGGTATCTCTCTCTCTGGTCTATCTCTCGGGTCTCTCTCTCTCTCTCTCTCTGGTCTATCTCTCTGGTCTCTCTCTCTCTGGTCTCTCTCTCTGCTCTTTCTCTCTCTCTCTGGTCTCTCTCTCAGGTCTCTCTCTCTGGTCTCTCTCTCTGGTCTCTCTCTGGTCTCTCTCTCTGGTCTCTCTCTGGTCTCTCTCTCTGGTATCTCTCTCTCAGGTCTCTCTCTCTCTCTCTCGCCTCAGTCAGTTCTCTCTGTAGTCTCTCTCTCTCTCTGTGGTCTCTCTCTGCTCTTTCTCTCTCTCTCTGGTCTCTCTCTCAGGTCTCTCTCTCTGGTCTCTCTCTCTGGTCTCTCTCTGGTCTCTCTCTCTGGTCTCTCTCTGGTCTCTCTCTCTATCCTCTACAGTATCTATCCACATATCCTGAATCTCTCTGTGTTTCTAGAACCTTCTCACATCTCTCCATCACACACCTCCACCACAGTCTCCTTCTGTTGGACCGTCTCAAACCCGTCTCTTTGACCAGACCATTCCCAAACCATCAAACCCCGCCTCTTACTTGAGCACGTGCGTGGACCCGTTGATCTGCGTGGCCGCGCCCGGCGCCGTGCCCAAGATGGACGGCCTCCTGTACCGCTTCCGGCCGCAGCACAGGATGATGAGGAAGGCACGGCGAAAGGACTTGTTGAGGAAGGCGTAGAGGATGGGGTTCAGCATGGAGTTGATGTAGCCCAGCCACAGACACGCCGCCCACAGCTGCTCCGGGACCGTGTAGCCAATGAACGGGTCCACCACGTTCGTGACGAAAAACGGCGCCCAGCAGAGGCAGAAGCAGCCCATGATGATGCACAGGGTCTTGGCGGCCTTGGTCTCGGTCCTCATGCGGTGGTTGCGCTGGTGGTCGGCCTGGTCCACGGCGGCGCTGGCCCCTCCTGCCCGCTGGAGCATGGAGATCTGCAGGGCGTGGGCTCGGGCCGTGACGTAGATCCTCTGGTAGGCCAGCACCATGAGGACCAGGGGGATGTAGAAGGCCACCAGCGAGCAGGTGAGCGCATATGGTTTGTTTACCATGAAGACGCAGGAGGTGGAGTTGCTGCCCTCGCTGTAGCGGCGCTCCTCGATCTGCGGGAGGCGAGGAAAGACCAGAGTCAGATTATTCACAGAAAACTACATCACAGAAGTCCCCAGACAAGTGCAATAATACATGTATAAGCTACACAGTACAGGACTATCTATCTGTCTCTCATCCATCCATCCCTCTCTCTTTTTTGTGTGAAATCAAACAAAATGGAGTCAATGAGAGAACCGGCAAAAAATAAAAATTGTTGGGGTTTATTTTTATGGGACTTAAAAAAACAGCAAAACAGCGCCCCCTACAAAAGTCAGTTTACATTGCGCTTATGGGAGGGGGTCCGAGCTCAAGTTTGTTGTAGAGCCACAACATTTGGTACACATGTTCCTCAAGTCAAGACATGAAAAAACAGTTATTATGGCCACGCCCCCTGACAAACAGGAAGCCCATACATATCAATAGAAAATGGTCACTCTAAACACATGTACCATCAATAGTTGATCGTAGAATTTGGATCAGTTAAACGTTGTTCGAGCAGCGGAGCGGAAAAATGTGACTCTTTGAAATTGGTCCATTAGCGCCCCCTACAGACTATGTCAAAGTTTTACATGGGGATAATCACATTTGTTTTTTTCAGCGCCACCTCCTTTGCGCGGTGCGGCGAGGGTCGTTTGACGCCGCTTGCGGCTTTAATTTTGTTTTGTTCCTTTTCAAAAATATCTTTTTTTACCTTTTCACTTCACGAATTATACACTCCTTACATGTGCTTTGCTCTTCACCTGCTGCACCATTCTCTGTTTCAGGCCCTGGGGATGGGACCCTGAACCCGCCGTGTGTTTTATCTGTTTTTTATCATGGTCCAAGTTTTTTTTTTTTAACCTACTTTTCTATGTAAGCAATAGATTGATGATTAAACACCAGGAGATAATTTTTCACTTCCTGTTAAATCCCATGAGTCTAGAACACTCCATGCAGCCTCCACATCGGGCCGCTCTCCTCCCCAGCCCGAGCTCACGGTCCTGGGAGAGACTCCAGCCGTCGAGGGCCACATTAACCTCCTGAACTGGGCCTTAAGCTTGACTCTGTGTGAGCCACAATCAATGGTCCCCAGAGTCCGAGGTTTATGAATGAAAAAGAACCAAGAGCAGTGTGTGAGGAGAGCGGAGGCCGAAGGATGTGGTGGAGACAAACACAGCCTAAACATAGAAAGTATTGACAGAGGCTCTCGTTTATGGGCAGACGTTACACAGACGCCCACTCAGCATGTTTCACAGTCTATTCTAAGTTTCACATTTACATGAAGCTGTTTGCATTGATTAGGAAGAAGATTTGAATGTTATTTTTCTGTCGGCTCTGTAGAGAGACTTGGGAGCTCTTCACTTAAATGATTCATGGATAATTAGTCTTTATTTTCATTATTTAAGGACATTGGTCGTACCCAGAGCACACATGGCTTCTGTCATTTGTTAGATATTTGAATAAAATAAAACTAAAGTCATGACATTTGATTGATTTGAAAACATTTGTATAAGACAGACTCTACCCTACTCTACCCTACCCTACCCTACTCTACTCTACTCTACTCTACTCTACTCTACTCTACTCTACTCTACCCTACCCTACTCTACTCTACTCTATTCTACCCTACTCTACTCTACCCTATACCCTTCTCTACTCTACTCTACCCTACCCTACCCTACTCCACTCCACTCCACTCTACCCTACCCTACCCTACCCTACCCTACTCTACTCTACTCTACTCTACTCTACTCTACTCTACTCTACTCTACTCTACCCTACCCTACCCTACCCTACCCTACCCTACCCTAATCTACCCTACCCTACCCTACCCTACCCTATCCTACTCTACCCTACCCTACCCTAATCTACTCTACCCTACCCTACCCTACTCTACCCTACTCTACTCTACTCTACTCTACTCTACCCTACCCTACCCTACTCTACTCTACTCTACTCTACCCTACCCTACCCTACCCTACTCTAATCTACCCTACCCTACTGTACCCTACCCTACCCTACCCTACTCTACCCTACCCTACTCTACCCTACCCTACCCTACTCTAATCTACTCTACCCTACCCTACCCTACTCTACTCTACTCTACCCTACTCTCTACTCTCTACCCTACCCTACTCTACTCTACTCTACTCTACCCTACTCTACTCTACTCTACTCTACTCTACTCTACCCTACTCTACCCTACTCTACTCTACTCTACCCTACTCTACTCTACCCTACTCTACTCTACTCTACTCTACTCTACTCTACCCTACTCTACTCTACTCTACCCTACTCTACTCTACTCTACTCTACTCTACTCTACCCTACTCTACTCTACTCTACTCTACTCTACCCTACTCTACTCTACTCTACTCTACTCTACCCTACTCTACCCTACCCTACCCTACTCTACTCTACTCTACTCTACTCTACCCTACTCTACTCTACCCTACCCTACCCTACTCTACTCTACCCTACTCTACTCTACTCTACTCTACTCTACCCTACTCTACCCTACCCTACTCTACTCTACTCTACTCTACTCTACTCTACCCTACTCTACTCTACCCTACCCTACTCTACTCTACTCTACTCTACTCTACCCTACTCTACTCTACTCTACTCTACTCTACCCTACTCTACTCTACTCTACTCTACCCTACTCTACTCTACCCTACTCTACTCTACCCTACTCTACTCTACTCAACCGGCTCTTTGTGGATTCCATAGAGTTGTGTGTCCAAATCAAGCGGTGTGTTGTGAATGTGAAATGAGCGAGTCGCAGACAGAACACTGGCCTCTCGCCCTCCATTGGACGTTACCCCCCGACTTTGGAGCCCTCTGATTGGTGGGTTTGTCCTGGCAGCGCGGGCAGTGGTCCTCGGTGGAGCTCATTAGCGCTGCGGAGACTTTGGCCACGCGGTCTCTCAGGTCAAAAGCCAAAAAGAGTGAGAAAACACGAAATAACTTTGATGGCTCGGAGATAAACACAGGCTGCATGGACTTAGTGAGAGGTGTGGGGTTAAATGCAGCACTAAAGGGACACAACTGTATTGGTTCAAACAGATTTTAGCTTTTTCCAAAACTTCAAAATGGTTTTCTGCTCTGCATATCTGTGAAAGTCTAAATCTTAGTTACTTTGTGCTTGTTGGAGGTTTGGGAGATGAAAGCAATCTGAGCAAATACATGTTTGTTCTGGGACTTTAAAGCTGGGGTGTGTAACTTTCCTATCAATTATGTTGTTTACAAAGAGGAAAAGGTCAGATGCACTCTGACTTAAAATAAATGGCCTCAGCTCTGTGGAGCACAGGGACTGGCCTCCTGCTGGGACTCTGAGGAGCACAGGGACTGGCCTCCTGCTGGGACTCTGAGGAGCACAGGGACTGGCCTCCTGCTGGGACTCTGAGGAGCACAGGGACTGGCCTCCTGCGGGGACCCAGAGGAGCACAGGGACTGGCCTCCTGCTGGGACCCAGAGGAGCACAGGGACTGGCCTCCTGCTGGGACTCTGAGGAGCACAGGGACTGGCCTCCTGCTGGGACTCTGAGGAGCACAGGGACTGGCCTCCTGCTGGGACTCTGAGGAGCACAAGGACTGGTCTCCTGCTGGGACCCAGAGGAGCACAGGGACTGGCCTCCTGCTGGGACTCTGAGGAGCACAGGGACTGGCCTCCTGCTGGGACCCAGAGGAGCACAGGGACTGGACTCCTGCTGGGACTCTGAGGAGCACAGGGACTGGACTCCTGCTGGGACTCTGAGGAGCACAGGGACTGGACTCCTGCTGGGACTCTGAGGAGCACAGGGACTGGCGTCTTGCTGGGACTCTGAGGAGCACAGGGACTGGACTCCTGCTGGTCCCAGAGTCAGGACTAAACATGGGAAGGCAGTATTTCAGATTCATGACGCTAAACTCTGTAACAGTCTTCCTGAAAAAGTGAGACAGGCCTCTCCTCTGACTAACGGCCCTAACAACAGTGTTTGTCGTCTGCCGTGGATCCCTCTCTCTAAAATACTGCTTGTTGTCGTTTGTTTTCCTCTTCATCGGTGACATAACATGTTTATTCCAAATTACCCAGAATCAGACTAAACACAATTAGCAAATCCAAGAAAAAAAACCTGAAAATCTTGCATCTTGTTGTGACTTCAAACTCTGGCCCAGGCTGACTCTGGCCCAGGCTGACCCAGACCGTCCAGAACCTCCAGAACCTCCTGCATTTTATTAAACATGTCGTCATTGTTATTGCACTGTTTAGAAACTCGATCCTGCGTCAAAGCCTTTTGTCTGATTCTTTTGTAATCCCCTGAAAGCATCGCAGGTCTGTAGTGAGTGTGTGTGTGTGTCTGTCAGTGTGTGTCTGTATATGTGTATGTGTGTGTGTGTGTGTATGTGTGTGTGTGTGTGTGTGTGTATGTGTGTGTGTGTTGTGCGTATGTGTGTGTGTGTCTGTGTGTGTATGCGTGTGTGTGTGTGTGTGTATGTGTGTGTGTGTCGGTGTGTGTATGAGTGTGTGTGTGTGTGTGTAGGTGTATGTGTGTGTGTGTGTGTGTGTGTGTGTGTGTGTATGTGTGTATGTGTGTTGTGCGTGTGTATGTGTATGTGTGTGTGTGTGTTGTGCGTGTATGTGTATGTGTATGTGTATGTGTGTGTGTGTGTGTGTGTGTGTGTGTGTGTGGGTGGGTGGGTGCGATAATTGTTTTCTGTGTTGTGTGAAGAGTTTTGTGTATTGGCCGCAGCTCTTTTCAGACGTATTGTTGTAGAAATTGCAAACCTCTTTACAAAGTACAGTGAACAGAATATGTTTCAGTTAATTTCAAAGGAGACAATGCCATTTAATAAAACACATGATTCAACATGGTAAGACCAGACGTACATGTAGGAGATGATCCTGGACCAGAGTTTACACATGGTAAGACCAGACGTACATGTAGGAGATGATCCTGGACCAGAGTTTACACATGGTAAGACCAGACGTACATGTAGGAGATGATCATGGACCAGAGTTTACACATGGTAAGACCAGACGTACATGTAGGAGATGATCATGGACCAGAGTTCACACATGGTAAGACCAGACGTACATGTAGGAGATGACCATGGACCAGAGTTTACACATGGTAAGACCAGACGTACATGTAGGAGATGATCATGGACCAGAGTTTACACATGGTAAGACCAGACGTACATGTAGGAAATTACCATGGACCAGAGTTTACACATGGTAAGACCAGACGTACATGTAGGAAATGACCATGGACCAGAGTTTACACATGGTAAGACCAGACGTACATGTAGGAGATGATCATGGACCAGAGTTTACACATGGTAAGACCAGACGTACATGTAGGAGATGATCATGGACCAGAGTTTACACATGGTAAGACCAGACGTACATGTAGGAAATTACCATGGACCAGAGTATACACATGGTAAGACCAGACGTACATGTAGGAGATGATCATGGACCAGAGTTTACACATGGTAAGACCAGACGTACATATAGGAAATGACCATGGACCAGAGTTTACACATGGTAAGACCAGACGCACATGTAGGAGATGACCATGGACCAGAGTTTACACATGGTAAGACCAGACGCACATGTAGGAAATGATCATGGACCAGAGTTTACACATGGTAAGACCAGACGTACATGTAGGAGATGATCATGGACCAGAGTTTACACATGGTAAGACCAGACGTACATGTAGGAAATGACCATGGACCAGAGTTTACACATGGTAAGACCAGACGTACATGTAGGAGATGATCATGGACCAGAGTTTACACATGGTAAGACCAGACGTACATGTAGGAAATGACCATGGACCAGAGTTTACACATGGTAAGACCAGACGCACATGTAGGAGATGACCATGGACCAGAGTTTACACATGGTAAGACCAGACGCACATGTAGGAAATGATCATGGACCAGAGTTTACACATGGTAAGACCAGACGCACATGTAGGAAATGACCATGGACCAGAGTTTACACATGGTAAGACCAGACGTACATGTAGGAGATGACCATGGACCAGAGTTTACACATGGTAAGACCAGACGTACATGTAGGAGATGACCATGGACCAGAGTTTACACATGGTAAGACCAGACGTACATGTAGGAGATGATCATGGACCAGAGTTTACACATGGTAAGACCAGACGTACATGTAGGTCTTAGGAGATGATCATGGACCAGAGTTTACACATGGTAAGACCAGACGTACATGTAGGAGATGATCATGGACCAGAGTTTACACATGGTAAGACCAGACGTACATGTAGGAGATGATCATGGACCAGAGTTTACACATGGTAAGACCAGGCTAAGCTAACTATATCAAGCTAAATGTTCAGTTTTTCTCTGCAGTCGGTCAATGCAGAATCCCTGAGTTTTGAGGACAGACTCGGCACATCCACCTCTGAAGTCCGTGTCACTGTCTGTGTCAGTGTCTGTGTCACTGTCTGTGTCTGTGTCAGTGTCCGTGTCCGTGTCACTGTCTGTGTCACTGTCTGTGTCTGTGTCCGTGTCACTGTCTGTGTCAGTGTCTGTGTCACTGTCTGTGTCTGTGTCAGTGTCCGTGTCCGTGTCCGTGTCACTGTCTGTGTCTGTGTCTGTGTCTGTGTCTGTGTCTGTGTCAGTGTCAGTGTCAGTGTCAGTGTCAGTGTCAGTGTCAGTGTCCGTGTCCGTGTCCGTGTCACTGTCTGTGTCTGTGTCTGTGTCAGTGTCTGTGTCACTGTCTGTGTCAGTGTCTGTGTCACTGTCTGTGTCTGTGTCTGTGTCTGTGTCTGTGTCAGTGTCTGTGTCTGTGTCAGTGTCCGTGTCTGTGTCACTGTCTGTGTCACTGTCTGTGTCTGTGTCAGTGTCCGTGTCACTGTCTGTGTCTGTGTCAGTGTCAGTGTCCGTGTCACTGTCTGTGTCAGTGTCTGTGTCACTGTCTGTGTCTGTGTCAGTGTCCGTGTCCGTGTCACTGTCTGTGTCTGTGTCACTGTCTGTGTCTGTGTCACTGTCTGTGTCTGTGTCAGTGTCCGTGTCACTGTCTGTGTCTGTGTCTGTGTCTGTGTCAGTGTCAGTGTCTGTGTCTGTGTCTGTGTCAGTGTCAGTGTCTGTGTCAGTGTCTGTGTCTGTGTCTGTGTCTGTGTCTGTGTCACTGTCTGTGTCTGTGTCAGTGTCCGTGTCACTGTCTGTGTCTGTGTCACTGTCTGTGTCAGTGTCCGTGTCACTGTCCGTGTCCGTGTCACTGTCTGTGTCTGTGTCTGTGTCTGTGTCTGTGTCTGTGTCAGTGTCAGTGTCTGTGTCAGTGTCTGTGTCTGTGTCTGTGTCTGTGTCTGTGTCACTGTCTGTGTCTGTGTCAGTGTCCGTGTCACTGTCTGTGTCTGTGTCACTGTCTGTGTCTGTGTCACTGTCTGTGTCACTGTCTGTGTCAGTGTCTGTGTCACTGTCTGTGTCTGTGTCTGTGTCACTGTCTGTGTCAGTGTCTGTGTCACTGTCTGTGTCTGTGTCACTGTCTGTGTCAGTGTCAGTGCCCACCAGGTGGTTGATGCCGATGCTGTTCCAGCCCTGCATGATGGGCAGGAAGGAGATGACCGTGGGGATGGACCAGCAGCCCCCGATCATCAGAGCCACTCGCAGCGGCGTCATCTTGTTCCTGTAGACCAGCGGCTGGCAGCAGATCGCATAGTACCTGGACACAACACACGCAACACACAGACTTAGAGATCATTCACTCATTTCATTTTAGTTACAAGCCATTTGCAGTAAAACCACATTGGAATACATGTGCAAAGTTCCCAGTGTGCAACAGGTAAGGTTAAAAATACAGAAAATAAATAAAAAATGATATCAATCAGGGGTCTCAAACTCTATTTAGTGCATCAAGGGGTATGTGTGTCACCTGTGTTTGTCTGTTTGCAAATTACTGTATATGGACATTGGAGCAAACAGATCTGTGACATTCTCTTCTCATTCTTTAACATTAACAGATGAGAAAGTCAAAGTTTGGGCTCGAAACAGAGACAAAAACAGAAAAACCAAGAATCGTTTGTGGACATTTTTATAGTTCTCTGTTTGAATCTTTGACTTTTTCACCAAATAATGACTTTTATTGAATGAGTTTGATACTTTTTGTATATTTCTATGCACAAAATGAGTCCAACTTGGATCAAAACAAAGGCCTCGAATTGTAGACTGGGTTTAGTAACGTTTACTCTGAATTATTACTGCATTCAGGTCCTGTGTGTCTGGTCAAAGAAATGCTGCGGCCGTTTTCTTAAAAAAAAAATGTATAACAGGCCTTATTCGCAGTCTGTGGCTAAATGGGTTAAAGTATAATCGGGAAACATTCATGGACATCGGTCAACTCCCTATGGACCAATACCTACAGTGCCTTGCAAAAGTATCAGAAAACAATAGTTTCAGTTGGTGAAGTTAATTGAGAAAAATATAGACATAAAACTATTTTTCAGAATTTGTTCTATATTTATATCTATATTTATGATTCTCTGATTTGTGTTGGCAATTTCAACTGTTTTGTCACTGTGCAGATTTTCCTCCCTTTTAGTTGAGATCATATATTGTAATTTCCTGTACTACCGTAGCTTCGCAGCACAATATGTGGTCTTTGACAGTGGTCCCCAACTCCCGCTCAAACTCCTTTTTGTCCCTTATCAGCATCTGTATTTAAAGATGGTGCATTGACACAGAGAGTCCTCAGCCTCACGGACATTTATAAAACAAATTCTAAGTACAACTAAAACAATTCAAAAACATGGTGGTGGTAAATATTCTTAAAAAGGTCACATTTGTTATTTGTTATTATACGTTTTTTTCCTTTGGAGCAACTGTAAAAATGAGAGAACCTTTAAGTCCTTTGAGAGAACTACTGTTGTGATTTAGGGCGATACAAGAATAAATGGAATAGAATTGAATTGAAAAAGTCCTGTGTCCTTCGCCTCATGTTGGTGCCGGTAAAACACGACCTTAACAACAATCTCACCTTGTTATTAAGTCGTACCCAGCTCCTGTTTATGAGAAATCCTGGTTTAATTAGAACAAAACGTCGCAACAAACTCTGGCAGTGAGTCAAAAACAGAGGAAATATATTCTGCGAAGTGCTGCGGCTGTGACCCCAAAGTCAGAAATCGTGTCACACTCCATAAAACTTGGGGGAAAAAGCGTCAAAACAATAATTTTGGCATAAATCAGATTTGTTTGTTTGCACCGGAGAGAGCGGGAACAACACAAGCTGCTTAGTCATGACCGGGAACGGCTTCTCTCACTAAACTCTACAGAAGTTTGAATGAATGATGGGTTTTGCATTAAGCATTCTCAAATATAATTCTATTTAAGCAGTGTTTTGGCTAATGCCTCCATATCATAGATGCTAACAATGCTAACTCCCTACTCAGTGAATAGCAAAGTGCTCATGGATGTAGTTTTGCTCCTATTGACATGTAACTCATTTTTCTCTTTCTCCCTCTCGAATGATTTATCTGAAATTATTATCAGATTATCCCCCTCCCTTTAACACTTTGCATTTGCACACCCTTTCGTCACCAATGTCTGCCTGTATGTCTGTGTTTAACTGTTTGTTTATATGTTTATATGTAAGATGAATGCGTTTGTCTGCTAATAAAAAAGAGAAAAGTAAACTCCTCAAAGTCAGTAGCCGTTAGTGTCAAACACACAATTTTAGGCTTAAATAACTCCGGTTTAGCTCTAGCTGTGGTCCTAGTAAGCAAGAGGCAGTCACAAACTAGACATTAGAGACCAGAGACTGGGAATGGACCAAGGATTGACCAATCAGATGCCTTCGTTCGCCTTGCCTAAGCTACATCCGTCTCTGTTATTGCAGCTCGCCCATATAAGGAAATTGGCTCCGGCTAGCTTTCAAATCCTCTTTCCATTGCTACGGTCAATCTAACATCAATAAACAGGTCTTTTGTCACTTTTAAAATGTTTGTCATAGTAATTTTTGATCTACCGTGTCCAGGGAATTTACCCTGTGGATCAACGGACTAAAGCTTACAAAGACAATACCATAAATCTTTATCATTATGGTGAGGTTTGTGCCTTCAGTTCTATCAAGATGCTGTTTCTATTAAAATATCAGTCTACGGCTTCTTTTAAATCAGGCATCTCAAACTCAGGCCCGTGGGCCAAATCCGGTCCGCAAGACAATACACAATACAATACAATTTATTCTTGTATAGCCCTAGGTCACAACAGAAGTCATCTCAGAGGACTTAACAAAACCATTGAAATCACCAACACAGGTCAGAGAATCAACAGTTAAAACACATGAAGAATATAAAGCACACACAGAAGAAAATGTCCATACATGTTGTAGAATGCTAAAGTGTCCTGATCATCACCAATCCTTTCTGTTGGACACTAACTGTCCAACAAGACCCTCCTGCATCCACAAGGAAAAACTCTTAAAAAACCCAGTGGGAAAAAGTGAGAAACCTTGGAGGAGAACTAGGGAAACCCACAGGGAGGGAGACCCATATGAGAAAGGGATCCGCTCCTCCGGACGGACAGGCTAATGATCTAGGACCTAAGCTAGCTACAGAACGTGGACCAGTGGACGCTGAACGTGGACAGGTCCGGTGCAGGACTGAAGCACTCCCAGGCGGGTCGGGCGGGGCAGTCCGCAGGTGTAGATGGAAGAGGCCAGGCTCAGAGATCCCGTCATCGTACCATGAAACAGACAATGGGACAACGGGTGAATAGCAATGAACAAACTACAGTCAGAATCCTAAAAATGCTAAACAGATAAAGTAGGAAGGAGGAGAGGATAGTGCTCAAGTTACCATACTTCTCCCAGCAAACTGACTCCCTATGCAGCTTGACTAACACTCTGAGGAGTTTAACCTTCTCCGAGTCTTACCTTCCTAGCCATATGCTAAACTAAAGAGGACTGTTTTAAACCTAGCCTTGAATAAAGAATAACATACAGCATAATATATAACATAAATATACAACATAACACAATACATTATTGAATAATATATAACATAATATATAACATAATACAGCATATATATATAATATATACACTACATATTATATATTACCTAATTATATGCTAAATTAAAGTAAAGTGCTTTAAGCCTGGCCTTGAATGTGGAGACCGTATCTGCTTCCTTAACATAAATGGGAAGCTGATTCCACAGTAAAGGAGCTTGGAGCTAAATGCTCTGCCACCAACAGTGACCTTTGAGACCTTAGGGACCACCAGACGTCTGGCGTTTTGTGAGCGCAACGCTCGACCTGGTTGATACGACACTAACGTGTCTTGGAGATAAGAAGGAGCCAAGCCATTTATGGCTTTATATGTTAAGACCATTTTTAGTGGCTCCTTTTCATAGAATCCACCTGCAGCTTTGATGGTGATGGGCTACTATAGCATGTTATACTTCATTTTCAAGCTAATTATATTAAAAAAAATAAATTCAAATACATCTCTTCTTGAAAACAAAATCCAGACATGTGTTAAATGCAGTTATAATGTCAAAGCAAAGCTGGCCCCAAGCTCTTATGTTTTAAAATTGTCCCCCAACCAATTTCAGTTTGCCAAAAATCTACTGCTGTTTCTGGATTGGACTTTGTGTTTTGAGCTCGGGAGCGTTTCTTTAGCAGCGGTTCTGTCTCAGCAGGAGGTGGTCACTCTGGGGCTGCACCATAAATAGCGACCGAATTGAAAGGGATTTTAGTGAAAACAATTAGCGAATCGCAGAAACAGCACGGCACGGCACGGCAGGGTTTCTCGCCTAACCTCATATAGGCCCATGTGTGCTGCCTTCATGATGCTTTACTTCTGTTTTTGGAACTCACTGATTTATTTTTCTTTGTATCGTTTTAAATGTGAAGCGCTTTGTGATCCTGGTCTGTGAAAGGCGCTATACCAATAAGCTTTACCTTCTTACGTACTCGCAGACGAAGACAAAACATGAACTAAAATGGCTTGGATTAAAACGAGCTTTAAACAGATCACACAGAAAAAACTGGATACTTTGGATCTTATCTTTTTTTTCATCAAAAAATTCACAGAAATTAGCTGCCGTACTTTCTAGACTATAAGAAGCACCTGTGTATAAGCCGCACCACCGCCGTGTTATAAGAACAAGTTAGTTTTGTCCACATATAAGCCACACTTGAATATAAGCCGCAGGTTGTTGTAATGTAGCAGAGTGACGACTGTTTTAATTGGACACAACATGATTTAATGTGGAGGTGTTTGTTAGCTTAGCCGTTAGCTTCCATCACTCACATCCATCTACTTTGATAATAAACCTGTAGCTGCAGAAACTTGGAGTCAAAATAATGACTCTGCTCTGAAAACTTCCCACCTCTACCACAATAAAAATGCACTTATTAGCCGCATCGTTACATAAGCCGCAGGGGTCCATCCATCCATCCATCCATCCATTTTCTACCCTTTAATCCATTTCTGGGTCAGGGGGGTGGCAGTCAGAGATGCCACCCAAGTCTCATAGCACCAGCCCCTCACTGACCCTCTGCAGGTGGTGAGTCCACAGGAGGACGGCTGCTCTCTGAGTGTGAGCATAGCCTTGATCTTTCAGTGGGGGCTTTGGGCAAAGTGGGGTTAAGTGTCTTGCCCAAGGACACAACGACAGCAGTCATCAGTGGGAGTCGATGGAGAAGGTGCAGAGGTGGGAATTGAACCCATGACCTTCTGGCCTTAAGGCCAATGCTCTACCAACTGAGCTACTGTCGCAGGGGTCCAAAGACTAGAAAAAAGTAAAGTTCGGAAAGTGCGGTAATTTATCTGCTCAGATTGAATTTATTGGTAACAACGTCAAAATGTTATCAACCCTCGGCAAAATTAAGTAATCTTAATGTGGCCCCCCAGGGAAAATACTTGTCCAGGAGACATGTTAGCACCATATGAACCAACTCGGACCCTGAGGAGCACAGGGACTGGCCTCCTGCTGGGACTCTGAGGAGCACAGGGACTGGCCTCCTGCTGGGACTCTGAGGAGCACAGGGACTGGCCTCCTGCTGGGACTCTGAGCAGCACAGGGACTGGCCTCCTGCTGGGACTCTGAGGAGCACAGGGACTGGCCTCCTGCTGGGACTCTGAGGAGCACAGGGACTGGACTCCTGCTGGGACTCTGAGGAGCACAGGGACTGGCCTCCTGCTGGGACTCTGAGGAGCACAGGGACTGGACTCCTGCTGGGACTCTGAGGAGCACAGGGACTGGCCTCCTGCTGGGACTCTGAGGAGCACAGGGACTGGGCTCCTGCTGAGACTCTGAGGAGCACAGGGACTGGCCTCCTGCTGGGACTCTGAGGAGCACAGGGACTGGCCTCCTGCTGGGACTCTGAGGAGCACAGGGACTGGACTCCTGTTAGTGCCCAGAGTCAGGACTAAACATGGAGAGGCAGCATTTCAGATTCATGACGCTAAAATCTGGAACAATCATCCTGAAAATGTGAGACAGGCTATTTCTCTGACAATGTTCAAATCCAGGTTAAAAACAGGTCTTTTTCTCTGTGCTACATGAAGGATTTTGTCTCCTCTCTTTTGAAAGTACTGTGATTATCTCTGATTTTAATGCGTGCTTGGTTCCGCACTTAGAGCTGCCCTGTGTATGAACTGTGCTAAACCAATAACCTTGCCGGGCCTTTGTCTGCTGTAGAGCCACATTCTCACGGCGTGCTCCACATAAACCGCGTTACCGTGTCTCAGCCGAGGCGTGTGTTTGCCCTGACACACTTCTCTCTCCGTCTCCACACACTCTTTTTCGTATCGCACAATTGTTTTCTCGCAAATTGCTCCGGGCCTTTTATCTCCGGGGCCATTTCTCATGTGAGTGGCTGCGGTTCCGTGCCGCGGGGCCACAGCTCCGACTGAAGAGGAGATTGGCCGTGACAGGCTCAGGCCAGAGGCTCAGACTGTCGTTACCAAGGCAAGGCAAGTTTATTTGTATAGCACAATTCATACACAAGGCAACTCAAAGTGCTGAACAAAATAAGAAAGCATTAAAATCATAAATAATCACAGAACATTAAAAATGTAAAATCCCTCAGTTGTAGCACAGCTAAACAGAACTGTCTTTAACCTGGTTTTAAACATTGTCAGAGAGGAGGCCTGTCTCACATCTTCAGGAAGACTGTTCCAGATTTTAGCAGCATGGATCTGAAAAGCAGCCTCCCCATGTTTAGTTCTGACTCTGGGCACTAACAGGAGTCCAGTCCCTGTGCTCCTCAGAGTCCCAGCAGGAGTCCAGTCCCTGTGCTCCTCAGAGTCCCAGCAGGAGTCCAGTCCCTGTGCTCCTCAGAGTCCCAGCAGGAGTCCAGTCCCTGTGCTCCTCAGAGTCCCAGCAGGAGTCCAGTCCCTGTGCTCCTCAGAGTCCCAGCAGGAGTCCAGTCCCTGTGCTCCTCAGAGTCCCAGCAGGAGTCCAGTCCCTGTGCTCCTCAGAGTCCGGGCTGGTTCATATGGGACTAACATGTCACTAATATATTTTGGTGCGAGGCCATGGAGAGACTTGTAACAAGCAAAGCTGTTTTAAAGTCTATTCTCTGAGCCACAGGAAGCCAGTGCAGGGACCTGAGGACTGGACTAATGTGGTCGTACTTCCTGGTTCTAGTCAGGACTAATATGGTCGTACTTCCTGGTTCTAGTCAGGACTAATGTGGTCATACTTCCTGGTTCTAGTCAGGACTAATGTGGTCGTACTTCCTGGTTCTAGTCAGGACTAATGTGGTCGTACTTCCTGGTTCTAGTCAGGACTAATGTGGTCGTACTTCCTGGTTCTAGTCAGGACTAATATGGTCGTACTTCCTGGTTCTAGTCAGGACTAATGTGGTCATACTTCCTGGTTCTAGTCAGGACTAATGTGGTCGTACTTCTTGGTTCTAGTCAGGACTAATGTGGTCATACTTCCTGGTTCTAGTCAGGACTAATGTGGTCGTACTTCCTGGTTCTAGTCAGGACTAATGTGGTCGTACTTCCTGGTTCTAGTCAGGACTAATGTGGTCGTACTTCCTGGTTCTAGTCAGGACTAATATGGTCGTACTTCCTGGTTCTAGTCAGGACTGGAGCTGCTGCATTTTGAATGTACTGCAGCTGTTTTACAGCCTGTTTGGACAGACCTGTGAGCAGGCCATTGCAGTAGTCTAACCTACTGGAGACAAATGCATGGATAACAATCTCCAAGTCTGCTTTAGACACTATGGCTGTGTCCAAAACGGTAGGCATCGGGCCGCGTAGGGTGGATATGTAGGCATCGAGGGAAGGCCGCGTAGGCACAGGCGAGGTAGGAGGCGAGACGTGAGGTGGATTTGGACAGCAGCTGCCTTCTGCCTTCGTCACGTGACTACACAACTCAGAGCGGAGCGGAAGGACACGGCGGCCATGATGGACGGTAAAAAGTTCTAAATACGCTTTAATTAGGACATAAAAGTTAATTCTAATATCATTTGAGGCGAGAAATATCCCCCTTTATTGTCATATCAGGGGTCTGTTTGGAGATAAATTCGAAAATTTTCGGACTTTACCTCCAGCCTGAAGCTCCGGTGCTATAAGCTAACAGCCCAGTTAGCTGCAGTGCTGAAGCCCAGAACAGGCTGTCTAAACACGGGTTCAGGTAATGAGAGCCCCCTGGATGTTTACAATCGTATTCTGAAAAAACAGAGGATGCTTTTGTTGTTACACTTTCTCTGTTATAACAATTGTATTGGCAGTAATCATTAGTTTTTACAAAGTTATATTTTATGTAAACAATGCACATATATGCAATAAATGATTATTAGATATGGATTATATATTTGCTATGGCCCTCGTTTGTGCATCAATTAAAAGTAATTTTATCAGACCTAAATGTATTAACGTGTGTTTGCTGATGAGAGAGAAACATCCATTTATCTATAATAATAACTGACACATCCATTTATCCAGTGATGGGCAGTAGCGTCGCTACAAGTAGCGTCGCTACTAGCTTAACTACATTTTTCAGTAGCTTGACAGTAGCGTCACTATTTACAAAACCTAGTAACTTTTCTGTAGCTAAGCTATATTATTGCTCAAGTAGCGCGGTAGCGTCCACCAAAGCTATTTTCTCACGGACATCTCTGATGTTCATATATTACAGCATTTTCCCGCAGCATATATAGAAAGACAGAATGCTGATGCGCATGCGCAGGGCTTCGTAACGACACACACACGAACGTACTCACACACACACACGAACGTACGCACACACACACACACACACACACACACGAACGTACGCACACACACACACATGCGCGCGCGCTACTGGGGGAAGAAAAGCATGGCAGAGAGCCCAAAAGCCGCCGCGGTGGAGGAGGACCATGATAAAGACTCTCAAAGTGTTGTACCGTGGCCATACCTCCAAAAGTACGTCACTCTAGTCGAGATGAGCGAAAAGAAATATGTTTTTAGATGCCTACTCTGTAATCCCAAGAGCAAGTTCCTGTCGACGTCAAAGACATCTAATACAAACATACGAACACACGTTCAGGTAAATCTATTGTTTTCCATTTTGCATTAATGAGTTTAACTAAGCTTAAATCAGCTAACAACAATAATTAAGTAGATAAGATGTTGGAGAATGGGATACTTATGATTGAACTTCAGATTTTCAGATCAGAACTCATGCTAACCAGCAGAGGGAATATTAACAAGCTAGGTTAACGGCTAACTAGAATGGACCCTATGCAGTAGTAGCCTACTAGAACATTATGTTTAATCACAGCCACATCCATACAAATATTTAATACATGATTTCTTCTCTAGAGAGTCCACCCAAATAACTTTTCTTGCATGGAGAGGGAGCGTGAACAAGTCAAGAAGAGGAGTGCTCCTGAGGAAGACGAACACGCGCCAAAACAAGGCAGTGTGTCCCAGTATTTCAGGGGTGGTCCACGCTCTCTAAGTCAAGAACGATTCAATGAATTAGTTCTTAATTTTGTGATTCAGGGATTGCACCCACTGTGGACTGTGGAGAGGCCAGAATATATAGAACTCTTCCGTGAAATTCTACCCTCTAAGCAGTTAATATCAAGACGGACATTGGGGAGACTTTTAGATGATCATTATTCATTGATGAAGAGCACACTGATCAAAATGTTGTCTAAACAGAGCCATGTATGCACAACAACAGATGCATGGTCCTCAAACAACAGAAGCTTTCTTGGCGTGACCATCCACTGGATAGATGAAGAAAGCTTAGGCATTTGCTCTGGAGCATTAGCCTGTCGTAGGCTTGCAGGGCGGCACACACATGATGTTTTGGCAGAGATGCTTGAAGATATCCACCAACATTTCAAAGTAAAAGAAAAGGTGACCGTTACAACTACTGATAATGGTTCTAATTTTGTAAAGGCATTCAGTTTGTTTGCGGAGGCTCAAAGAACTATTGGTGGCAGTGGAGAAGAGGATGATGAAGATGACGAGGACGAGGAACAACCTGTCTTCATCAATGTCACAGATATCCTGAACAAAGCAGAGTCAGAGGAAGATTATAGTCTCCCACCTCACCAGCGATGTGCTTGCCACACCCTCAATCTGGTTGCTACAAGAGACATTGAATGTGCCTTAAGGGAGTCAGAGCCCTTTAAGAAAATATCAAGATCAACTCTTTCCAAATGCCAGGCGTTATGGAACAAGCAGCATAGGAGTACTCAAGCTTCAGATACCATTAAGGAAAAGTTAGGTTTCCAACTAATAGTCCCTGTTTCAACCCGGTGGAACTCAACTTACCATGCCATGGAGCGTTTGAATTCTTGTATAAAGACACAGGAACATAAACTCCACGAAATCTGCGAGTTGCTGCAGGTGACTCGCTTCAAAGCCACAGAACTAACCTTCATACAAGAGTATGTCCAGGTGAATATATTTTGATATTAACTAAAAATGTGCAATGTTTCCATGTCAACATAAATGCAATAACAGTTGTAGTCTTCCAGGTTATTATTATTATTATTATTACTATTTTTAATAATGATGATAATAACCACAACAATAATAAAATTAACTTACACTTTCTTATTTTTTGTGTCTCTACCAGGTGATGATGCCCCTTGCCAAAGCACTTGATGTCCTACAGTCTTCCAAAATGGCCTACACAGGAGTGTTGGTGCCAACAATCTCAATTCTCCTTGAAAAGATGGAGCAGATGAAGCATGGGATCCACCTACATCACTGTAATCCACTTATAAATGCCATCATCAGTGGGGTTAGAAAGAGATTTGAATATATTTTTCAAGACCACCGGTTGCTCATAGCCTCTGCAGCTCATCCAATGTTCAGGCTGACCTATATCCCTTTTGAAAAGAAGACACAGGTTGTTTCAAACCTAAAAGGGAAGTGAACCAGCTACAAACCCTGGCTCCAAATTTCATGGAGACGGAGCTTGAAGACCCAAGTGATAATGGTGATGAAGTAACAGGATACTTTCCATCTGTGAAATGTACAACAGTTCAGAACGAGGTGGACATGTTCTTGCATTCATCTGAAACCAAACTAGTCAGTGCCTTCCAAAACCTGCCATTGATGAAGAAGATTTTCCTCAAATACAACACAGGAGTCCCTTCAAGTGCTGCCTCTGAAAGACTATTTAGTGTCGGAAGCGACATTTTCCGTCCAAAGAGAAATCGTCTTTCTGATTCAAATTTTGAAAAGCTTCTTTTGTGTCGTGTAAACAAACACTTGTTGTGAAAAAAAGTTGAGAGTGGGCCCTACACATAAACCCACACACACTCACCTCACACCAAATATTTAGAAGACATTTATTTTCACTGTTTGAAGCTATTTCCCTTTCATCAATATCTGTAACTTACGAA